GTGGCCGGTGAAATTCCTGTAAAATATGATCATGCTCATATCAAAGGAGCTAATCCAAGGATAAAGACGCTAATGTAGAAGGAGCACCGAAGATCAGAATTTGTTTCAAAAGAGAAATATATTGGTATGGTTAATATGCCAGTCTCAATTTATAGCGAAGTTGGTGCAGCGACCCCTTGCGAGCAAGAGTAAGAAGAGATAGAAGGAAATAATATCTGCGCGAATCATTTAATCAATAAATAATAGGTTAAATTAAAAATAAATTATGAAAGCTTGAGAAAAAGGAAAGCGAATAGGAGCGCTTAAGTACCTGAAGAGCACCCAGAGATAAAACCTGTACAGGTGACATCAAATAAAAATGGTCTATTTCAGCAGGCAAATGGCTATAATAGTTGTTAATGTAGTTGTTTTGTTGCTACGCGCATGCTTACGTACTAGAAGTGAAGCTACTTACTTGAATCCATAGATAGCAGTGCTTAAATGGTTTGATGTTTCAAACAAAGCTTTAAAGCAAACGCTTTGCACGTATTCGTTTTCATAACATTAGTTAAATTAGATTGCGTTTGTACAAACTTTGTTATCTTGAGTTCTAACAAAACCATTTCATGTGCTGATTAAGCCTAATCGTAGTGAGCGTTGCGTTTACGATAATGATACAACACTCCTTAAAATGGGAGTGAGTAAACAACTAATGAATTGTTAGTGCTCTTTTTTAGAAAATCATTTTGCCTCACCCCGACTGATAAAAATATTGCATGCTTCCGTTGAAAGAGTAAGCGCAAGCCATCCTATTTTATCCAATATTTTACCTTATGCAACTCCAAAAATGACTATGTCTGGAAACGCTGTAATTCAAGTTTGTGCTGTATCCATCCATATATTGTAAATATTCAACTTCAATATATATACCTACGCCGTTGTTGATGGCCAGGTGCCGATTACTCGGGCAGTTTACTACCGCCCTCGCATATCGTCAACATCTATTAATTTATGTATGCCAGATTTATTGGTATTCGGTTGGTGACAGTTCATCACGGTCCACTCTCCGTCAGCTGGCTATGGTTAGTATGGAACGGCACCAAACTCCGGCGTTTCAAACTTTTGAGTCTCAACGGTGGTATGCCTTCGAGCCAACCCCTGCTGTTTTCCGCCCGCATGACTTCCGGATACCAACAGCTCGTGTAACTTCAAAATGGGTGACAGCCGCGGACTGGAACCATTGACAGTTGACTATGATATAGACCGGCTTACAATCAACTGCAATGCCAGTAACGAACTTTCGTGTGAAGCTAACTGTTGCCCTCTGCACATTTCGATAATTATACAGCAGTTGAAGACGAACATGGCTATATCACAGTCCATCGTCGACTATTTAGGTTGACGGCAGTCGCCGAAGACAAAGTGTCACTAGCTGCTGGCATTTGGAAGTCGATAGGGTAGGGATCAGCCAGGGTTCCACAGAAAGACGCAACACTGACGAGACCCAGAAGGTCATAACATCGGCGGCTAACGCATTTCCAGTCTAGCCAAAGCATGAGGACTAAGATTGGATGGTGTTAAGCATTTTTAATCATACAAATCCTACTACAAATTAGTAATTCTTGCACTGAAAGCTTCAGCCAACTGACAAAGCCATCTGTTCTGAATGCTTATCGAAGTACGCTGACATGCGAGTTGAGTAAGCGCTCACTGCGGACAATTTATGGTCAATGACCACATGTTCACCAGACCTTATTCGAAGCAGGTAAATCCTCAAGTGGTATGTCTAATAGCCAAAATGGTTATTGGGCATCTTCGCAGTCTCTGGAACTTATCGACGCTCGCCGGCATAGCCCGGCTGGAAGCAAATACAATGAAACTTGCAACGAGCTCCGGGTAAGGCTTCGTGCTAGCATGAAGAAAGACCGCCAATCCAGGTGGTCTCATCTTGCGTCAGAGATGGAAGTGGCTGCTGCGCTTGGCAACTATTGTAAGTTATTCCTTCTGATACGGGAAACGGGCAGCAGGAGACCTGGTGTTACTGAAACTATACGTGACGAGAGTGGACAGCCTATCCACAATTTGTCAAAACGTTTGGAGCGTTGGGCTGAGCACTTTGAAAAGCAATGTAATCGGCTAGATTTGTTCGACTCTTCGCCGGCCAGTGATCTCTCTGCTCCGTGGGCTGTCACTTTGGATCCACCCCTTGCTCAAAAGTCGAACGTTAAATCGGACAGTTGAAGTTGAACAAAGCCGCGGGACCAGATGATCTTCCACCAACCTTCTTCAAATTTGCAGGCTCGGCTTTTGTTGATGCTTTACATGAATTATTATTGAAAATGTGGGAACAGGAGACTGTCCCACCCGACTGGAGCCGCTCCGTTATTGTTTGCGTCTTCAAAGGAGGCTGGCGCTTGGAATGCGGCAAACATAGCTTAATCAGTCTGATCTCCATCGGTTTCAAATTACTCGCCTCCATAATCCTTTCCAGAAGGACTAGCGCTCGTGAAAGCCAGATTCGTGAGGAGCAAGCCAGGTTTCGTCGGGTTTGTGGCTGCATCGACCACATCTTCACCTTGCGCCAGTTGTTGGAGCACCGCCACACATATTGGCGGCCCGCCGTACTCGTGTTCCTCGACATAAAAGATGCCTTCGATTCGGTTGATCGATGTGCCCTTTGGAATTGTCTACTCAGGAAATGTGTCCCCGAGAATTATGTAAATATTATCCGAGCATTATACGCGCGTAGCACGGGCAGAGTGAGAGCTTATGGCAAGCTGTCGCCACCTTTCATTATCTCCAGCGGTGTGAGACAAGGATGCCCGTTGTCATCTTTCCTCTTCAACTTCGCTATTGATGAAGTCATGGAGATTGTATATGTAGTACATGACTTGGAAGGTGTGGAGCTACTTCCAGGAGAACGACTTCTTGATTTAGAGTATGCAGACGACATTGCCCTTATCTGTGACAGCTCCCAGACGTGCCAATCCGCGCTGAGCAGATTAGCACAGGTGCTCAGCCGCTTTGGGCGTTGCTTTACACCGTCGAACTGCAAAGCCTTCCTCCAAGATTAGCAGAGATCGACTCCTGCGCTGACTCTTGTTGGGGATCAGCTAGAAGTCGTTCGGAAATTCAACTACGTGGGAAGTTGTAGCAGCGCCCTTGTGATAATAGATGAGTTCACAAACAGTATAGCAAAATCTCAAAGTGTTTTGCTAACTTCGCCACCTATGGCGGCGGCGCGACATTACCCTCGCTCTGAAGGGTAGAGTTTAAAATGCAGCAGTACGTTCGACCTTACTGTACGGTTGCGAAACCTGGCCTCTAAGATCGGCACACAAGAAGAGGCTAGTTACTTTCGACCATCGGTGCCTTCGCAGTTTGGCTCACATCTGGTGGGAACACTGCCAGAGTAACGAGCGTGTTCGACGCTTTGGTTACGGCACAGGAAAAAGAACTGAAGCATTCAGTACCGTCATTTCACGCACAAAGTTCCAATGGCTGGGTCACATGAGGCACATGCCAGCCAACTGACTTCCACGACATGCGTTTTTTGCTCACTGTGGATGTGGATGGATGCAAAGGAGGGATGGCCAAGCGATAACTTAGTCCAGAGGAATGAAGTCCCTCACTTCGGAGCTGGCCTCGGTTGAGCTTCACGGCTCCCTGGTTGGAGTCCGACAGACGATGAACACGTTTGCTGGATACACTCGCTGACATGGCAAGGAGCTGACCACATTGGCGTTCTTGCTGTGAGTTTCATTGCCACGCCCATCACTTTTATCCTCCCCTCCATCTACGATCTCATTACGTAGCGTAAAATATAACAATTTTACTTTTTGCCCAGTAGCCGGCTGGTAGCTTACCGGAACGCTGCTTATACGTTGCTGGTAGCTCAGCTGTCATGCAACTGTGTTTTATTTATTTTCCTTTTTCATTTGTGTATTGCGGCACAGTAGCTGAGGTGTATCCCATCTTTAGCTGACGTGTTTAATGAAAATGATGATGTACAAACAATGTGATTTTTCGCTACAGCAAAAGGTCATACCTAACTCGCGGGACGCATAAGCAATAAGTAGAGCGCCAAAGTGGTTTCAGTAGACCCAATCTTTGCCACCTTTCGGCGGGTGATAATAGACTTATTTCCCAAAAATGTGACTGAAACTTCAGGCGCATGCCATTCACAGCGGCGGCACTATTGCTTTGCTGTAGTCGCATGTAATCACCGGTAAAATTCGGCTTTAGTAGATAAGGCCCTAACGAAAACGCGTATAAGGGTAACTGTGAAATTGCCCAACATCTAGCGCCGTTTTCACCACAAATGTAATCTATGAAACACGTAAGATGCACTCACTTAAACGTCACGTCCAATAGGGTTTTTCACCAAAAATTTAATGCATTCCTCTTCAACCAATTAAAAAATAGCATGGGAAGAATGCGGTTTCCCATAGAACCTAAAGAGATGATGTCAATTAATGTAAGCTGTTTCAAAGTAGTCCGTTTGTACGTTAAATTCCTTACAACAAGTTATTTTCCCATATTAGTACCGTTCGGGCAATGGCAATGATCTTCACACATAAAAGCATCTCATCGACATGAGTTTTGTGGTCTATCACAGAGAAAACAGAACCGAATTTCCATCCATTTTACTACGTACACTCACAGTTTAACAAGCATTTTTGAGAAAAGTACTTCAATATCTAACGAATTGTGAACAATAGCAATATTTCAATTCAGTTAAATTCATCAGCGTTTGCAACTAACTGTTATCAAGCCGGTCGAAATTATCAATGGCGTTATTTTAAGCTGCACAGTGATCTTGTAAATTTTTATAACGGCACCCATCTTCTTGGGAAAGCCCTATACAAAGCTAATTTCAGAATCATGACTGCCGGCAACCGATGAAATTTGCCACCATTACCATTGACTTAAGAGCCCTTGACCTGCGTTTAATATTGGCAACGAGAGAGTTGTTTTCAAAACCCCTACTTCTGCAAGGATTTCGATTCCTCTATATCTAGTTATGACGGAGGTCACCTTAACCACCGGGACGGGTACAACGCCAATCAGGACTGCCCCAGGTAGGTCGATGAAACCCACCGATGTAGGTGAGTGTCATTTGCTTCCATAGTTTGTAAAACATTGAACGATAAAATGCATAGGAAAATTCCGTCGTCAGAAAAACTCACATTTTGCAATCGTGGACTCAAATTGTATCAACCAGACGGCAGTAGTCAACGGCAACATTTGCTGCCATATGGCATGAAAACTGTTGTTAAGAAAAATGATGTCCTGTGCTTCACTCAAAACATGTTCCAATCTGCCTTCATAGCCAACTGGTCACTGAAATATTTTATTTATCAACATAATCCACAGTGTCCGCTTTCATCGCTTTCTTTCAAGATTAGATTGGTTTACCCGTAAAGAACCATGTTGAAGCCCGTCTAAGTGAAGCCATTTAGAATAACTATCATTTTCTTATCTGGGATTCTTACCACAAAACGACTGTAGTCATGTCCTTAAAAACAATCCAATGGACACTCGCTCTTTGCCAGTTTGTGGTTATTTCAAGTGGCGATGTCATTTAAACTTCATAATATGAATCTGAAATTCATCACCAAATAGTGATGTAGCAAATTCTAGTTGAAGTTTCAACAACTGACCTTGGGAACCGAGATATATATATAGCACTGAAGATTATAGACAAATTCGTTTACAGTGTTTACAAATCTCTTCTATTGGAATTCCTGATCTAACCTACGCTCCATCATTATTCTCTAATGAATCGCTCTGCTGTAAGTATATCAGCAGTGCTTAGTAGCACCAGCGTACAAACAAGAGCAGTAGCAATTTCATTAGCCGTTGTTGCCACACTTAAAACTTGCAGTGAATTAAATTCAATGGCAATTACGAAGCGTCGCATCCCATTGAAAACTACAAACTAAACCGTTTGTCTCGTGAATTAATATTTTTACATGGTTTCCTTAATACGTTTATGTATTCCCAACATGCAGTTACCCATACCGCTTCCATTTCCGTGTGGTTACAAACTCAAATTAGAGGCAGAACGTAGAGAATAAGCCTGTTTCCAGTGTACCTATATCAGGCTAATACAACCACAAATATATAAGTCAAAAATGAACAAGTGAGTTGTGGGCGTTAATAATTCCAAATATCTCGTCAATAAAGTTATCTGATTAGTGCGAGCTGTGTGGAGTGGGGGATAATTTCGTGATAGGTTTGCTTACTTCTGTTTGGCTAGAGCCAGGTTACATTGAATGTTTGTATAAAATTCTTCCGTGCTCAGAATTGCGATTGCAGCTGCTAACGACAGCAGCCGGCAAGTGCTGACTATCTGCTGCACACTGTCCGTATCGTTTCATTTATGCGATCAATAACAGCGTTTAATGGATACTGACTTTAAGGAATTCAACCACGCGCGATACCTACTTCTTATTTAACATCCAGGTATATCAAAACCGATAATTAAACAGACAGCTACTTGCAAATTCCGTGCGAATGCTTCCGATTAAATTTGATTCAGTTCAGGAACGTTAATTCATTCGAAAATTATATCTGTGGTTTCACTGAATGGCCTTAGCATAATTTTGTGGCGACTTGTGTTGCTGCAAACTGACTGCTTCTACTTAGCAATGCCCATTTAATTGGCACATTCCCGTAAATGTCTGATGCATGCGCAGCTGCAAATATGGTGTTAAATTTATAGGTTTGTCGGACAACTGCTACGGCACCGGTAGTTGGGTTTTTCATACTGTCTTTTTACCGGTTGGATGGCTCTTACTACAGGTATTTGGATACGCTTATGCTTGGAGAATAGAACTGAAGTTACTGATGAGTATCTATAGAAAGCAGTGATGCATTGGTCGGATGTTTAAAACAAGCTTTAAGATGAATGCTACAAAGATTCCTGGCGCATATATCTGCTTTTGTAAGATGTGATTAATTTATTTGCGTTTGTACAAGCCCTGTTATTTTGCCCTATTGCAACGTAATTTTGTTTCCGGATTATGCTTCTCTGCAGAGGCATATGTGCCTTTCCTTCGTGATTTTACAAGGAGATACCTAACTTGTGGGACGCGAAAGCAAGCAGTTGAGCGCCGAAATGTTATTGGTAGACGAAATTACGCATTACGGCGTGTGATATATTAGCATGGTTTCGATGGATATGGCTAAAACATTAGGGGCATGATAGTTCATATTTGGCTGCACAATCGCCTTGCTGTAGTCGTCTGCAATCTCTGGTAAAATTCATCCTTATTATATAAGACACCAGTGGAACGGCGTAAAGGGACACATGTCCGATTGCTCAACATCCAGCGTAGTTTTCAACCAAAATCTCTTCTATGAATCCCTTAACACCCACTCAGGTAAACATCTTCTCCACCTGGTTTTTTCACCCACCAAAGCTTTCGCAAATTGGTTTTATCTCTGTTTTTTTCACCAGGCCATTTAAAACAGCAAGGGGACAAATCAGTCTCCCGTAGAACCTAGACATAGGATATATTTAATGTAAGCTGTGTCAAAGTTGTCGTTTTGTTCGATCTTTTTTCATATTAATACTGTTCGGGCGATGTTAATGACCGTCACACATAAAAGCAACTCACCGACGTGACTTCTGTGCTTTACCAGAGAGGAATTGGAACCGAATTTCTATCCTTTTCGCTATATACACTCTTTTTCACAAGCAGTTTGGTTTAGACTACGTCACTATCTAACCAGTTGAGTACGAAGCAGCCTTGCAACTGAGTTAGAACTGAAACCAAAGCCGCAGGCACTTTTGTTTAAGCAGCTAGCAGATATCACCCCGGTAGAAATGCACAATGGCATTATTTTCAGTTACACAAATATCCCGTACATATTGGCAACGGTAACCATCAGCTTGGAAAGCCTCTTTGTCAAACTTGGATTCAGAATCATGACTGCAATGTATCGCTAAAACTAGCTGTGAGACCTGGAACGACCTTTCACAAACCTGCCTTCTAATCCCTCCTCTTTTTTACACGTAGTTTTGCTTCCGTTTTCAGTTGCATTTCGGCACACAAATGTATTTTCCCTCTCACTGGATCCGGATGTATTTGCCTTATATATTGCCATCCATATTTCGAATTTAGCTTGTGTGGATCTTTTTGGATCTCCACATGTCGATTTTTGCTCTATTCCCGCCAAAACACCATGGAGAAATTTTCAAAATAACGAAACACGCAGAAATATTTTTGGTCTCATACGAAAGCCAGCTACCCGTTTCCCCTGACGAATTAGCCACCACAGCTGTGGACTGACCTACAAAGTAGCTGTCGTACCCTTTTTCCGCATCACTTAGTCCCTTGTTTGCCGTGTAAACGATCTAGCCGCTTAAACCTGTCCCACCTGGGCCACCGGAACATTACGCGATGACTTTGAACAGGCTGATTATTCAGCGCACACGCGACCGGCATCAAATCTTAAGCACTCGGGCGTTTCCTGGATTACCCTCGATCTACGCAATAGATCGTTGCGACTAATCAAAAGCCCATGTTACCGCATCCATGTTGACAGTAGTTTGTGGCATTCTTTTATGTCACAAAAATGTACGGATCGGCATTAAATATAGCGATTGTCAAAGCAAGTTCCATCGCAAATTTCCAAGCACACAATGAACAAGTTAAAGCTACGTAGTAGTAAGCCAGATTCACTGTAGTTAACTTTAGTACGTATAGTCATCCCACTAGTAAAGCTTGTACGTGAACTATCGGAGAAATATGAAAGACCAGTTGCAAATTTTGCCAATATGTGGAGCACCAAAATCGATTCTTCGGTAGAAAACGTGACAGAGTAATTTCCTGTCATTACTAGCAAGCACCGCATTAAATTTGAGGAAAAAGACTAGGGAGCAAGCTAAAAACGCATCACCTGTGGCATTAAACGCTAATGTTACCAGTTGCTCAAATATGCCTGAAACAACCACCGCCAGTCGGACTGCAACGAGCACACACAGAGCTTCGTCCACCATGCAAACATTTCCAAAAATTCAGAAGGGCTGGGAAAACATTGGTGGCTGGGAATTGTTTGCTGCCAAAGATGACAAAAAGCATAGACCCTCGGCCACTTTTACCTGAACCGTAGTAGAGGAAAAAGAGGAAACTGCACCCAAGCAGCCTCCAACGACTGTATACAGACAAATTGGTCGTTTTATCTTAACCAGTACTGCACGTAGTATACCAGCAGTAGTCTGCACCAAGCTTCCAGAATCGACATCAAAATCTTCAAAGGGAAACAACTGGGTGAAGGGAACCAGTGAAAATCCATATTTGATACTAAATTGTCGTAACTAAGCCCGTAACATTGACATGCATTACCCGTCACCCAAACTTACAGAAATACGGTAAACCAAGACTTCTCCAAGTTGAGTTGACTGCTGCAAATGAAGCAGGAGCTTTACTCTTATCAGCAACTCGTCTCCGTAATCGGTCATGTTCCATCCGCCTATTCGCTGATATTCGGTGGAACGAGCGCAGACAGGCGAACCACCACTTGGACAAAAACCGGAAGGTATCAGTAGCCAGGACCATCCCTGTACACGGTGTTCTTGAGGCTGGAAATCATGATGAGCGCAAAGCGGCCACTCATGGCCAGGAACAATGGCGGTATATTCGCGAGGCCCTCTCTGGTGAACGCAATAGCACGATCAATCTCTAGGTTGCGCTGATCGCCAACCTACAAAGGAAGTTGCCTAAAATTGTGAAAGTGTTCCTTCAATATAGACAAATGTCAGGAATGGTAGTGGAGGGATGTAATGCATGCTGGAGCAGCCTTCCTTCCGAGCTCCGAATCAAAGCAGCATCTGCTCAGCAAACATACGAGTGCAGCCGATAAGTCAGACAACTTACTGAAAAGAGTTCAGATAACTTTAATCAAAAAGCCAACGGAAATAGCAAACAGACCCCATACATCATATACAAAGCGAGAAGTAAAGGAGTATTGGTAGGATCCATGAACCGGACACAGATGATTTCGTCATCATCGCACCAAAAGCATGATTCGTTGCCGATCTTTCACCGGTCGGCACAACATTTTATCCCAT